CCGCACGTGACTGCCGTTGACACGAACGACGCGAAGCGGAGTTCGGGCAAGCAGTCGAGTGCGGGAAAGAAACTTTCCGCATGAGTTAGGAACAATATTTTTTCTACAAGCGTAGGAAATTGATTGAATCGTTCAATTAATTATTCAAGCAAATAGAAACAACTAACAAGAGATATATATTCTCTATCTATCAATTATTAGTAATAGCTATTGTGAACTTACAGTTCGACGCATTATGTTGGTTCATTGCGGAAGCCATCAGCAGGCCCATTAGGAGTTTGGTCTCTAGGTTCCAGACACTTCTATGAAATGAGCCAAAAATACCTATTCTTCATTCGGTTTTTTCATTTCTTTATTGTTGCACCATTCAATAAAACGCGTGTATAGCTTCTCATACCTTTCTTATAGAAGACTTCGTTGGTGATAACGCATCTGTATCAAATCCCTATATTGCTAGAAGTTTTTGATCACATCGTGGCATTTCCACTGAATCGAAAATGACAGTAACGCTGTGTCTGTCAGTTCGACAATTTCAAACTTATTTGAGGTTTGATTGGCATGACAAATTGACGTTTCCCGTCAGATCAATCCAAATCTATAGGGGGATTTTTATAATAATCGATTTTTATTTCTCAATATTTCTTAATTTTTACAATAAATAGTGCAATTTGATGGATGATTCTGAACAAACATACTTAATACTGCAACAAACAAACTTAAACTTTTATATTCCATCACCAACCACTTATATTACTAGCGATTTTATCGTATCTTTGTTTTCCCGCACTAGTGCGGGAAAAAATTTGCCGCACTAGTGTGGGAAAATTTTCCCGCATTGTTGCGGGAAAATGACACTTCCCAAACTAAATTGCGTGCGGGTATAGGGTGAATCACGCACGGTTGTAGAAAAATGTAATTTTCTCCCGAATCCTTTAGCCCGGTCTTATCCTATCTGAAAATCAGTTTAAATCTGATAGAGGGTGTGAGAATTATTCCGTTTTTTTTCGAGCAGATTTACTGCAGCACTTATTTTCATCAAACATATAGAAAAAAAAGTTCTTTTGACGATATACAGTGTGTCCCACTTACCATGCTCACCATGGGTATCTTTTTAACGGTGAGAGATATGAGGTCGGTTAAATGACACCAAATGTGGAGTTTGTCAAGGCCAACTATAATGTGAAAAAATATTTCGATAAAATCTATTCGTTTTTGTTTTATACACAAAAAACAGATTTTGATCATTTTCATGTTTCCTCCGTAACTTCTTCATTTATGAAAATATTCAAATAGGAATTCCACATTTTCATGGCAGTTTTTCAAAGTGATTTCGAAAAAAATATGAAATTCATACCAACTCTTCTAGAATTTGAGATATCAGCACCAACTTTAATTTTTCAAATGTAGGTCATAGCTCACTATGACTAAGTTACAAATAACTTTTTTCCTCTTACAGATGATATGTCGCAAAAATAGTTTTGTGTTGATAACAACGGAGTTATCGTCATTTATACAAAAACAAAAAATTATTTGGAAGCCGCCATCTTGAATTTATAAATTTCAACAAAAAAATCATGATCTCCGACCTCAAAAACCCCCACTCACCAATTTTGAATGGAATCGGACCAAATCTTGTCCGCCATCTTGGAGCAGCCTTTTTTTCAATTTCAACAAGATTCGGTCCGATTCCATTTAAAATTGTAAGTATTTTTTCATCGCTTGGAGCGCACGAAAGGAAATTCCTATAATGTTCGTGGAACATCGCGTGTACCTATGGAGGACCTTGAACTTTTCCAAAGCTCCGCCGTCCTATAGACGATCGAGTTTTGTCGAGTTCGTCTGACTGGCATTGCTAGTCGTGGAATGATAGCAGAGATTTATGAAGAACTTTTTTCGTGGAAGTATCTATAGAAAAGTGGAAGGTCGCCGACTTTTCTACGGTGTTCTAATGAGGCCAAAGAGTTGGTGAGTGTGGATATAATGATAAAGATATGATGAGGGAACTTTTACTCGAAAAAAAGGAGACATGAAGCATCATCCAGAGCCAGCTTGGGGTAGCAGAACGTAATGCATGAATCAGCTTTCGGGAGAGGAATATTGAAAGGGCGGGTACCCTACATGGAGCGTCGACTAGTCCCCCCCAAACGAATCGCCTAATTCAATCAGCGACCGAGTCGGTCTCTGTGTCGCTTCGGCCCTTCAAGGGTTTTCCGCTTCCCTTTCAAAGGACTGACGGACGGGCGAGTCCTTTAGGAACACTAGCAAAAACTCTGGAAATTCCCAAAACCCACAAGATTGAAGGAACATGTTTTTATTTCTGCTGTACCCCACACCTCTCTAGCGAGAGTCATTTTTCAAAATATTGATGGTCATTACTAAATCTGGCTCAATATTCTTCACCTTCGCGAGTACTATCAGAAGCAAATAAAAAATCAGTAAGTTTACAGGAATTGGGTCGTCATAACGGACTTCAAAAATTGGTGAAAGAACGTTACGGTGATTTTGGCGAACGCACTGTTGTGTTCACCAAATTCGCCCATCCGGAAATAATTATTGGAACTCAGATGGGCACCCTCAGATTTTTCTGAGGGAAACAAGATCACCTATAACTGTTCTGAGTGCCCCAAATTCTTCTATGGACGGTTCAGAATTACATGAAAGGCTTGGAATCGTGGAATATTACTATGCCATCTGAAATTCCAGAATATAAAATGTTTTGGAAACAATTAGATAATTTATTTAGAGGCAGTTTTGATTTCTATGTTTCTTTTATCCAGTAATGTAGGGATTTCAATTTCAATTTCAACAACAGATTATCAAAAAATACCTCCAATAATGACTCTAGGAAATGATAAATGATAGAAAAAAGTAATCGAAACAAAAAATAAAAATGTACCAATGCTCGAAATAATCCCATGAAATAACCATACTCTAATGATGGATCTTCTTAGTTATCTTTTTTGAATCTAGTTTTACATATACTCTGAACAAAAATCTGTAAAATCGAAAAATACCAACACGACCCTCAGTTAATTATCGATATTTTTTGAGAATTTTCCCACCTGTATTTTTGCCTCGTTGAGCATGATGTTCCTAGCCCTGAACGATTCCTTTTTGAATCAATGAAATTGATACATAATTATGGAAATTTTGAAAAATAAGTAAACATAACAACTCACATTTATTTTCCTCATTCTTTTGTTTTTTTTTTTAACTTGGAACTCGATAGGAAAAAATCTGAAAAATAACTAAAAATACTAACTCGGTGCACGGAAAATTATCGGTATTTCAAATGTATTCTGTACCTACCTATTCAATTCGAGACAATATAAAAATCCGTATAATATATAAAAATTTCAACACGACGCGATTTTCCGTCTCCAACTCCTTTTTGCACTCAATGAACTCAATACTTGTGGAAATTCTGAAAAATATTTAAAAATAAGTCTCCGGTCAAAGGAAAGCTATCGGTAGTTTCAATGCATTTTGTACCTTCCTATTTGATAATAAAAAGAAGAAGAACCAACATGGACTTCAGACAATTATAATCGATATATTTCGCGATTTTTTCACCTGTATTCTTCCTAGCCAGCTCCTCCATGCAGTAGAAATCCGGGTTGTGATTTTTGGCAAAGGTGGACCCTAGTACGGCCAACTGCTAAATATATTTTATACCTAAACTCATGTAATTCGAAACTTCATGTAAAAAATTCGAAAAATAACTGAAAATACTAACAAAGCCCTCAGATGATTATCGATATTTTTCGAAATTTTCTCCACCTCGTTGAGCTTGGTACTCCTGGCTAGTTCTTTTCTGAAGTAGATATCCGGGTAGTGGCTTTAAGAGCTCGGCCAACTGCTAAATTCATTTTGAACCTACTTATTTGTTCCGCAGGTATATGAAAGAAACCGAAAAAATGAGTAAATATACCAACACGATCCCCAGATAATTATCGATATTTTTCTAAAATTTGTTCACCTGTATTCTGCTCTCATTGTATTTTGTACCTGATTTTTCAATCCGGAACCCTATATAAATTCTGAGAAATAGCTAAAAATACCAACTCCGTCCAGGGAAAATTATCGCTATTTTATTTTTTGCTTTTTCTCACCTATTTATTCTGAAGCTCTATGAAAAAAATCCGAAAAATAATTGAAAATACCAACACGACCCCTTGACGATTATCAATTATTTGCGTGAATTTGTGCACCTGTAATCTGGCCTCGTTGTGCTTAGTGCTTCTGGCAAGCTCACCTCTGCAGTAGATATCCGAATAGTAGCTTTTGGCGGAGGCGGACTCGAACTCGGCCAGCTGCTAAATTTATTTTGTACCTACTCATTCATTCCGGAGATATATTATGAAAAATTCTAAAAATAACTAAAATTTCCAACATGATCCGCAGACAATTATCGATTTACTCTAAAAAACCTACATATAACTAAAGGTACCAACTCCGTCCAGGAATAATTATCGCTATTCTATTTTTTTACTCATTTATTCCATTTGAAACTATGAAATGAATCCGAAAAATAACAAAAAATACCAACACGACCTCCAGACAATTATCAATATTGCTCGAAATTCTGCCCACATATATTCTGGCCTCAATGTTATTTGTACCTGATTATTCGATTCGGAACTCTATAAAAATATCCGAATTTAACTAAAAATACTGACTCAGTCCAGGGAAAATTATCGGTATTTTATTTTATTTCTTCACATACTTATATAATTTGAAACTCCATGAAAAAAATCCGAAAAATAACTAAAAATATCAACACGACGTCCAGATAATTATCGATATTTCTCGAGATTTTTCCCATCCATATTCTGTCCTCAATGTTATTTGTACCTGATTATTCGATTCGAAACTCCATGAAAAAAATCTGAAAAATAACTAAAAATACCAACTCAATCCAAGGAAAATTATGGGTATTTTATATCATTTTTTCACATACTTGAACTGTATGAAAAAAATCCGAAAAATAACCAAAAATATCAACACAATCTCCAGACAATTATCGATATTTTTGCGAATTTTCCCACCTGTATTCTAGCCTCGTTGAGCTTGGTGCTCCTAGCCAACTCCTCCCTGCAGTAGATATCCGGGTAGTGGCTTTTGGCGAAGGCGGACTCGAGCTCTGCCAGCTGCTCCTGCGTGAAGGTAGTGCGGTGGCGGCGACGCGCGGGGGTGGGGCAGGAGGCGGTGGTGGGGGTGTGGCCAGCGTGCTGGGGGCCGCCCCCAGGCGGGGAGGCGGCGCCCAGAGAGGTGGCGCCCGTGGGCGTAGCTTGTGGCTCGGGCTTCAGTTTTTTGAAAGCGCCGTCTGGAAAGAAAGAGATGTGCAGGACAGAGTTGTAAGAAATCATGATGGTTTTTTTGATAAAATCAAAATGTCAAATACATGATTTTTTCGAAATTGAATAGAAAGTTTTCAACCACAGACAGAAAATATTGAAAAACAAATCATTTAAATATATAGCTTACCTTACCATACCATACCATCTACACAGTACATAATGATATGAAGTTCTTTCTTTGACTATCCTAATGTATTTTATAAAATATTCAATGTTATTGCAAATCGCAAATCTATGATGAATAATCTATGTCATTCAATAGTTTTTAGATGCTAAGTTTCAGAGTATTTAACTCCATTATATTATGTATTTTATGATTCTAATTGTATACTTCTGAATGTTTTTGTTTTTGACTATTCCAATGAGTTTTATTCATGTATATATTATTTTGTATGTGTATGTAAAATTTCAATAATGAATAAATTGTATTTTTCTGTGACGGCTTCATCTCTGTTGACAGGTTATAAAATGTCACTTTTCATAAATTACGTTTTCCCCGGATTGTGCTAGTTCCGAAAAATAAACCTTGAAAGAAGAAGAGTCCAGTTATCTTTCATTCCACTTCGCGGTTATAAGTAATAAATTACTAAACGCAATTTTCAAAAATCAAATCACAGAATAATTAGACTGACTTGGGCTGAAAGACTTCGGTCAATGGCCTTTTGGGGTATATCCCTAATAAAGATGTTCTCTCTCTCTCTCTCTCTAGACTGACTGATATTTGATGACTCCAAAAGAATGATAGAGATACCTGAAAAGAGATGCCTGCAACGGAGGTGTAATTTCAGTTAAAAACTTCAAATTTCTCCCCGATAATTTTCTGATATTACTTTAATTAAATATCATCTCAATATTGATTCGTCCTTTTTCCTGTCACAGAAAACAATATTGTATTATACACGGGAGGAATATTAGATTTTATTGAATTGGTACATTTTGGTTGCGCAGAAGACTGAAATGTCAAGTCAAGTCACTGAATAGCAAAAAATCTGAAGGGTATCTCCGTGGGCGTCGCCACTGCAGAGCAAGGGGGGGATGCCTTCCCCCCCCCCTGGATCCTGGCTCATGTTATAACAAATTTTAGTGCACTTCCTAATCTGAAATTTGTATTACCTAAGTATTTTTCTACGGTCTAATGTGTATGTGTCTATAAAGTGAAAACAAATACTATTTTCATTAGGTATAGATTTTCGCGGCCGACTATGATTATCAAATTTTCTTTTCTATGATTTTCAGGAACACTTACCGAATAGGTAATCAATCGAAGAAGTTGATCGATATCATATCAAAATCTAGGTCCGTAGTCAGGATTTTGAAATTATGTTTATTTTGATAGAAGTTATTTCAAACAAGTTTTGTTTCAAAAGAAGCACATCACAGAAAAAATAGGTGTTTTTCAAAATGCTCAAGACATAGTAGTATATGTTCTGAAGGCTTTAAGCGAACAGGGCTGAAATAAAAAAAATGGGTTCAATATCGCATAACCCATAATATATCAATAGCATCAAAGTAGTTAAAACTAAGAGAGCATGACTATCAGCATAGGGAAATACACGCTTTAATCTTAACTGGAACGCGGCCTGTGTTCTAGCGGGGAAGCGGGGTAGCGGGAGCGCGATGGTGTGACATCATCAGTGACAGGGTGTTTGAGTTGAATAAAAATTGAAAATTATATATACAGGGTGTCCCACGGTTAGACCACCCCACTTTAGGGGTAAATATTGAAGGATTGGGGAGTGTGGGTACTCTGAGAGAAGGATTTTTCGCGAACATTCCAAAAATGGCAACTTGCCTATATGCAAAGTCCCAAGGTTTACAAGATATCGCTCTAAATGCGTTGGAAATATCATATGAAATAGTCTCTTTGGATATGACATAGTAGAGCTAGTTTCGATTTTTTTCCCAGCGTCAAAAGAAAATATGAATGAGTATTGAAGTTGAATTGAAACAAATAACAGGAAATTACTGATAAGAAGATATTATAATAGAAAAACAAGTTTATCATTTGAAAGAAAAAACAAATTTTACAAGAAATGGGAAAAAAACAATCTCTTATCAGAAGACAACATATTATGTGAGAAACATTATGTTTTCATTCTACCACCTTGATATATAACAGCGGAGCGCTCTGACAAAATTCAGTCAACGTTCAACATCCACATAAATCAACACCTATAGCCACATCTAATAGCAATCTTGTGTAGTGCCAACTGCTGATACCTAATAAAAGTAAGTTTTTTTTTCTTTATATTCACCTGGTAATGCAATTTCTTTAAGTAATTTTTTTGTTTTTATTTCTAAGAGCGAATAATATTGCATGATATGTTTTCTTTAATAATTATTTCATTGTTGGTGTACATATCATAATTCATTTCGATGTTTTTCATATTGAAAAGTGAATGTCATTGTGTGTTTTCATCGATTCATTTCTTCGTGTACACATCATAATTCACTCATTCTATTTCAAACATTTGAAATGAAGAGATTTTCACTGATGTTGTTTGATTTCTGATTTTTAGGTATCACATTACAGTTAGACAGCCACATAAAATCAACACCTAGTCACATCTGATAGCAATCTTGTGTAGTGCCAAAACTGCCGATATCTGAGAAAGTGAGTTTTTTTTTTCTTAATATTCACTAAAGCTTGATCCTGATGTTTGATGCAATTTCCGTAATTCACTTTTTTTTTTTTGTTTTTATTTCTAAAAGCGAATACTATTGCTTGATATCTTCATTTTTTTTTTTTTTGTGTGTACATTTCATAATTCATTTCAATGTTTTTCATATTGAAAAGTGAATGACATTTCGCGTTTTCATCGATTCATTTTTTCGTGTACACATCATAATTCAACCATTTAAAATGAAAAGACCAGTTCCACAATCTTTTCTTTTTAGATGGATCTGAATGCAATCAATAATGTTGGGCTGTCATGCAACAGGAAAGTGTTGAGGAAACTGAGCCAACTGCCCCTAGATGTGCCACACCCCATTGTCGGAGTGCAAATTAAACTGGGAAAATACGGAGAAGCACCACTCGTTGAGTTGGACGATTGTAAGGTGTTTCTACCAGGCAGAGCGACCCAAGCCATCAAACCTGCGGTGGAGCAGTTTATCCAAAACAAGTACGCCCTCATCTACAAGGGACGAAAAAACTGCGGCCAACTCCATCCCATCGAGCAGTTTGAGATTGTCGAAACAACACCTCAATCACCAACATCATAAGCTATTGAGAATCAGAGTGTGAGTCATTTTACTTTGTCACTTTTCGCAAGATACATTTGTAAAGATGAATATCGCTAAAAAATCAGATAACTTAGTGATAACCATTAGGAAACTAAAGAAAATTTTGTTTGATAATTTCACTGATAGGGATGAAAAAATTTGGTTAAATCGCTTAAAGAGGTACATAAGATTATGTAACAATGAAATTAATAAGAATAAGATGTCCATAGGCTTGATGAGAAAGTTTCAAACGAATGTTGGTCATTTTAAGCATTTTCGCAATTTAATTCGAAATAGACATCGAGACAGTAGAGGGCTTGAGTTGAAAAATAGGGTTCAATGGAGAGATGTGGCATCAGGTTTTTCAAGTAGAATCAGAACGGGAATAATCATCAATATAACACACAAGGACTTGGAGCAATTTTTTATAGATGCATTCATTTTATTCAAAAATAAAATCAAAAATATATTGAAGGGATTTCCAATTATTAAAGTGAACGCTAATTTCTGTGGAGAATTCATAAAGAAATCAGATGATGCAGAAATTATCGAATTGAAATATTTCAACACTAAAAATGCCATTGTGGACGTAGGAACGGATTTACAACATTGGTACTATGATAATGTTCAGGACAAAATTTTGAATAAATTAAGTGAATTTCAAGAACGTGACTCTGGGTGGGCTTTGCATAAAATAATATCAATGGAAGTTAATATTAACAAACTTGAAATGGGAAATGGTTCATCCTTTATTAGACTGCCAGAACAAATTTCTAAAAAGCGAGCATGTTTGAATATAAAAAATACTGACTCGGCATGTTTTTATTGGTCAATCATAAGTGCCTTCTACCCAGCGAAAACAAATAGGGAACGGACTTCTTCATATCCATATTACACTACAGTTCTGAAAACAGTAGATTTAGATGCATCCATGTCTCTACGTCAAATTCCAAAATTTGAAAAAGACAATAACATTTCCGTGAATGTATACACATTAGAGTTGAATTTAGTCAAGAAAAAATCATATTATACTGTGGTGCCAGCCAGACTTACAAAAAATAAATTAGAAAGGCACGTTAATCTATTGCTAATTCAAAACAAATATTATCCAAAATTAAATGATTATGAGGCTCCTCCGATTGATGAAGAAGATTCTGACATCAAATACCATTACTGTTTGATTCAAGATATGTCTAGATTAATATCAAGCCAAGTGAATAAACATAATGGTAAAAAATTTATTTGTGAAAGATGCATGAATTATTTTCAATGTGAACAAAAATTGATTGATCATGAAATGCTGTGTTCTGAATTGAACCAATGCAAAGTTTCATTTCCAAAATATGATCACATAGAATTCAAAAATTTCACCTACCAACAAACCACCCCCTTTATAATTTATGCAGACTTTGAATGTCAATTAGAACATGTGGATGATATGGTTTCATCAAAAACAAGCAAATATCAGAAACATGTGGCTCATAGTGCAGGCTATTATTTTAAATGTGATTTCGATGATTCCTTGTCGTTTTTCAATAGCCATAGGGGTGAAGATTGTATGGATTGGTTTGCAAATGAAATGTCGAAGATAGCTGAAATCGTGCAATCTAAAATCAAAACAATCGTGCCAATGACTGTTAGTCCTGACAAATGCAAAGCAAAAATCTGTCATATTTGTGAGAAACCATTCAGGGAGAAAGACATTATCGTAGCCGATCATAATCACTTTTCAGGCGATTTCAGGGGGTGGGCGCATCAAGCACCCTGTAACATAAATTTCAAGAAACTCTTTGTTGTTCCAATTGCATTTCACAACCTGATAGGATATGATTCACATTTCATGATCAGTCAATTGAGTAAAAAGGGTCGTATGAGCATACTTCCAATAAACATGGAAAAGTACATATCTTTCACTTTACATGATGACAATACAGACATCAAATTCCGATTTATTGACTCTTTTCGCTTCATGGGTACATCCTTAGATAAATTATCTTCAATCATGGATAGAAAAGATTTTGAAATTTTGAAAAAAGAATTCAGTCATTTGAATGATGATACATTCAACCTCCTCACCAAGAAGGGTGTCTTTCCCTACGATTACATTAGTTGTTTGGAAAAATTGAATGATACTGAATTACCTACAAAGAAATATTTTTATAATAAATTGAATGATGAACACATTAGCGATGAGCAGTACGCCCATGCTCAAAAGGTATGGTCATCATTCAAAATTCAAAATTTAGGGGAATATTCTGACTTATATTTAAAAACAGACGTTATGTTGTTGACCGCTGTTTTCGAGAAATTCCGGCAGAAATGTAGGACAACTTATGGGTTAGATCCAGCATGGTACTATACCATGCCTGGATATACATGGGATGCCATGTTAAAGTACACCAAATGCAAACTGGAATTATTGAATGACGTTGATAAAATCATGTTCATCGAGAAGGCATTACGTGGTGGTATTTCTGTTTGTAGTGGTAGGTATTCAGAAGCTAATAACAAGTATATGTCTGAATATGATTCCAATAAACCTTCAAAATATCTCATGTATTTAGATGTAAATAATTTGTATGGTTGGGCAATGTCAGAGTCTTTACCATTCGGAGATTTCTCATGGATGGAAAACGTTGAAAATTTCAATGTAATGAATATTGCTGATGATGCTCTTGAAGGATATATTTTACAAGTAGACTTAGAATATCCTCGCGACTTGCATAACAATCACAAAGACTTTCCATTTGCTGCTGAACATCGCATACCACCCGGCTCAAAATTATCAAAATTAATGACAACACTTTACGACAAAAAAGATTATATTTTACACTATAGAAATTTAAAACAATGTTTAGCAAACGGACTGAAACTGACGAAAATCCACAAAATTTTGAAATTCAGGCAATCTTTTTGGCTCAAATCATATATAGATCTGAATACTTCTTTGAGGACTGCCGCAACAAATGAATTTGAGAAAAATCTCTATAAACTAATGAATAATGCAGTTTTCGGTAAGACGATGGAAAACATACGAAAGCATAGATTAGTGAAACTAGTAAGATCATGGCAGGGACGTTATGGAGCCAGAAATCTCATAGCTAGTCCACGATTCCGTGGTAGAACAATTTTTGAAGAAAACTTGATTGCCATAGAAATGCAGAAAACCGAAATAATTTTTAATAAACCTCTATACGTAGGAATGGTCATTTTAGATTTATCAAAATTGTGCATGTACAAATTTCACTATGAGTATATGATTCCGAAAATGGGTATCGAAAGGTGTAAATTGTTATATATGGATACAGACAGCTTCATATATGAATTGAAATGTGATGATGCATATGAAGAAGTTATAAAGACTGATCTCTCTCAATTTGACACATCTGAATATGCTCCAGATAATAAATATAATATGCCACTAGTCAATAAAAAAAAGTTGGGTTTATTAAAAGATGAAGCAAATGGGAAAATCGTTACTAATTTCGTAGGACTACGTTCGAAAATGTATGCATATAAAGTACAAGGGGGTAAGGTTGTCAAAAAATCGAAAGGGGTGAAAACTAATGTTGTCAAGAATAAAATTGGGTTCGAAGATTATTTGAATTGTTTGAAGAATTTCGGAGCACAAACAGTGTCTCAACGTACTATCCGTTCATATGCTCACAATGTGTTTAGCATTCAACAATCAAAAATTGCTCTGAGTCCCAAAGATGATAAACGGTATTTGATTCCAGGTTCGTTTGACACATTGCCATGGGGTCATACACAGGCAAAAGAGTAATTTTTTCATGTAAATCAACTCATCAAACATTTATAAAGAAAAAAACTCATACACTTACACTTACACTTTTCTGTTTTAGATCATGTCATCACCTTCACGATTGGAAGATTTAAGCATCAAAGTCATCTGCGAAAGAATTCAAAATATAACATCTTTTTTGAATTATTCTATCTCACACCATCTGCTACCAAACCTATTAGTCCAGGAAATAATCAAAAAATATAGCAAATATCGTTGGAATTATATTATCGAAAATGCTAGAAATGATGAATCACATGAATTGGTTTCATTAGAAAATATTTTGTATGTCAGAGAAATAGCCACAAGTCGTGTAAGAAATGCAATTTTATGTCAATATGATTGGACTCTAGAATATTATCAAACATATTATTGTGTTTGGGTGAATTTCTATAAGATAAAACAATTGAATTTGATTTTATGTCATAGTTGTTACAAAACATTGATGGATGTGTTGAAAATGCATAATATTAAGATCAATTTGCACATAATTCGAGATCATTTTCACTTATACTATAGAACAGATGAATTGCACATGCTTTACCACGATAGAAACCTATGGTGTCAAAATGAATTTAGGGAATTATTATTTGGGCTTAAAGAACGATATGAATGTGATATGGATTTACATGATTCACATTATCAGAGATATGAGAGATTCATCGATTCTGGTGATGAACATACAGATATTGATTCTTGACTTACTTTAACAATATTTTACAGATTTTAGTAGCATGATATCATCTTTACAAATGTAGTTTGCGAAAGAAGACAATGAAAAATGACTTTTTTTTTTCCAGAATATGTTTTTTCTTATGAAAATGTAATACTTGCCCTGGCTATTAATGTAAATATAAAATATGCTGTCTATCTATCATTAATAAAATAATCATTGAAATTTTCTGTGTATCATTGGGATGGGTAGTGAGTGTAAGGGAGAGTGAGAGGGTAAAAAAGTGAGAAGAAGAGAGAGAGAGAGAGAGAGAGAGAGAGAGAAAGAGAGAGAGAGAGAGATTGGATGGATATTAGTTGAAGGTATGGATGTAAAAAACAGTTGTATCATGTCTTCTGACGAATACAGACGTGCACTAGAAGAATTTGGGTTGAAAGTTAGAAAGCTCAGTGCAGACATCCAATTGTATGAGCAGAAAGTTTGTTTGTTCAAAGATTTCGAGCAATTGAGTATTTGGGACAAGGTGTTCACAGAACCAAGACGCACAGCTGCACCTACATCGAGAAGAATCCAACCAACACAGCTACTAGATGGCGATACTGAAAGCAAGCTTCATTCTATTGACAGCTCTGAGCAACAACGTCTTCTACACAAACATACCGTACAATACGAGGAATGCAGCCGTATGTTTTGATGTGAATCGTACACAACAGTGTGATTGGAAGCTGATGAGTAGAATGTATGTCAATGATAACAAACTACCTGTATATTCAATCGACATGCCTCGAGTCAATGGGACCACCATCGACTACAAATTGAAATTATCGTTTTCTGATGGCAGTGACGGCGAAATGGGAGACTGGCAGACATTTACATTGAAGAAATCACCCGCAAAATTAGATGATGATCAAGATTCTGTCAATATCATTGCAATTTTGACACTTTGTTGTACACTAATATGTTCACTCATTTTAATCTCGCATGTTATTTTCATTATACTGAGAAATAAGGGATGTGATGAATAAAAACTCTGAAATTACGATATATAGTTTTTTATTTTGGCAATAAATTACATAACCAATTATATAAAGTATCGACATTGTGGAGACTGCACTGGAACCTTCCTCCATGGAAATGATTCATGCAGGGTGGAATGGATTGTAGGAACGTTATTGGTTGCCACCAAGAATTGTCAAAATCTTCCAAATTAACAATGTGATTGGTCATCTCCAACTCTGCACATTTTCGCTGCAAAAACTGAATCTTTTGATGGCCTCTTACGTAGATGATGTTTGTCTGCTGCAGGTTATCTCGTAGTATTTGATCCAACTCATTCAAATCCACATAACCACTGGAATATTTTAAACCATGAACGTAACGCTCCACATGATTTGCCATCTTTTTATCTTCTCTGCTTAAACTCGAAAATTCTACAGATGGCTTGAATAGAAAATGACTCGTCTTTTTGCCAATGCGAATGGTCATTTCCTTTGGAATGAATTCACCATCAACCGTGAACCCTTGAATGTCAACCAGTGCGATCTCCATGACTCTTCGAAGCAAACTGACGTCTGACTGATGTCACAACACCCACCTAGGCAATATTTCGAACAATTTCGCTGAGTGGGAGATGTTCCATGATTTGATCATGAATGATGATGCAATAGGCTTTGGTGTCGGGAGGGAAGCCTGTAGTCGCTTCAATGTCCAACTTTATGTCAACTGTGGACGACTTTAGACCCAGATGGCGCCTCGAGCAATCGATAACAAACATTGGTCGGGATTTGAATTCGGCAAAGTTTACTAGAGAGCGCTTTTCTTGACAGTTATGGTAGCTCTTGTTGAACTCTGTATAGTTGAAGTGGGCGTCGGCATATTGGTCTCGGGAAAAGTCCAATAGCATTCGTTCTTGCGGATAATAGTCGCTATTCAGAGCCAATCGTATGGATTTGATGTTGGCATTATCGAACAAGGTGACATCCTCATGCAAATTATCGGCTTTTTTCGTTTGGAAAAATACTATAACATATCTTGGACTGTCCAATGCAGAACATGTCTTGACGGACCAGATTTCTATGGTAGATCCTTGTGTGAGTGCTGGTAGCTCGTGCAATTCCCATCGGCGAAACGGTATCATCATAGACTCATCTGCTTTGATACGTGTCAACAACTGCAACTTTATGTCATCGTTGGGTGTGAGATGTGGCACTTTCAAATTGATGCTTTCTATCGTTATTTTAGCAATACTCTGAGTCTGAGGAGATCCTTGCAAAGCAGTATTCGCTCTCTCGACAACCTTCACACTATTGGCATCATTGCGAGCTCTCACTAAACGGATTGACTGCTTGCCCCACGTTGCCACTTGATGATCATTGAAGATGGAAAACAAATGTTTCAGTGGAATGTTCATGCTAAACGTACCATCGGTGTTGAGGATCGGAGCATTGGGATAGTTCCAGCCTGCTATGGCTAGATGACGTGAGTCTTCAGGCGTATAACACAAGTATCCTCGCACAGTACTCGTTATTCCAGGATATCTGACAGTGTCCAATTCTTTATTACACAATTCATAGGTGCAGGAATCAAAGAGATAAGCTCCAGCATTGTGGGTTAATGTACCAGTACCACCACCGGTCACCTTCAATTTACCCTTGATGGTAATGATGCCTTCAAACATGGCCAACCACGAATCTGCTTGATTAACCGTTATATCGATGACATCATTGTTCTCGAATGATTTCACATATGGATAATAGGTACGCCATTCCACTTTAGTGATGCTTTCGTCGAGTCTGGGTTTGCGGAAAACGTCGAACACGGGTGCTAACAACATTGTAGTCTTTGAATGATTTCAGAAACAGGACACTGGATAATGTCAATGTTTTTCTGTTGCTGCTCTTCGAAGACACGACTGCTTTGGTGCACGGTGTCGAGAGAACTGGTGCCGATGATGTTGCTGATGATGGTATATTATCTGATTTATAGGAGTAATCAAACACTAGTACCATCTTGCGAGTTTCTTCAATTCCAATCTTATGATGATTTCTTCACCTCTAAAATTCACCTGCCTGAAATCTTGGTCTAGAATCTGGAGTGTAATGTTGGGCAATTCCCGCCTGCTGACTATAGGTAGATAGATTAGATTTCTGGGAGTCTCGTCTATGGCGTAACCAGGATCGACTGCAACTGCAAACTCGTAGATCGTATGTGATGGTCTGTCGTTGTAGAGAGCTCCAGCAGTAACGTTGCTATCAATGTGAATGGTTCTCACTTTGGTTATGGTGACCGGCAAATCGGAAGTGTGGACTTGTTGTGCGTTCAACAATCTATTTGAAAATCCCAAGACTTGAGCTATGCTATCCTTCGGGCGAAAATCAATGGCAAACTGTTTGCTCGAAATCTCACACTTTAGTGTATTATTGTTGGGCTTCAACGAGAATATATCATCAACGTCCTTTGCACTTGAGATGCCCAATTCTTTGCGTATGAATGTCTCAATGTCCACAATGTCGTATGAACCTTCGGGAATATCGATGATCTTTCCCGCCTTGGTCTTATCTTGCAGATAAAACTTTGATCCTTTGTCGATATTCGGTATACTGTTGTATGAATGGAATCCCAACAATGCTAGTCCGTAATCAGAGTCTGGATCGAGTTGGAGTGGTGTCAAAAAGTCTATGGAGAGCGTAGATGTACGACCTTTCAACGTCACAATCAGAGACATGACTGATGTACAATGACCGAGTTACTTGGTCTCATTAAAAAGGAATTCTAAACATAGACGTCCACAATTACTTTGATTGAAATTCTGGTATTGATTGTTATTGTACAAGATTTTCGTGCTGGCACCCAAATATTGAGCCAATTCTCTGGGCGGTTTCAGATTGCCATAACTATCGAAATATAAGGCTTTTTTATCATTTTTTATGTAAGCCACCCAATGAGTGCCCGCATGATTGGAGGTATCCAAATTCAATACAGCACACTCGCGATGCCATGGACCGGTGGAAGGTAGAGTGTCCCGCATAAAAACACCTCGAAAATACGGTATTTTCAGCTGTTTGGCATACTTTATCACATCTTTATCGTACATTGATTTATTGGGTAGCTTGTCTAGAAGTTTTTTGAGTTTTTTGATTGTTTCTTCAAGTACAGTCCGAATCCTCTCGATGTTTTGCGTAGAAATAGGCCGGAACCCTGCTTGCCGATAGCCTCCATTGCTTTATTATGTCTTTGATCTTCTTCGAGCTTTTTCTTTGCATTTTTCGCATCAATGACTGTCTTTGCGACTGCTCCGGCTCCTCCAGCTAGAGATCCTAGGGCTCCCAAGGCGGCAAAGATTGGTATCAATGGTAGTATACCGCCACTGTGTGGAAGAGGTATGATTCTTGGTACTCTGATTCTTTTTTTACCGCCAGCCCTCTTGATTGCCATTCTGGCTGCACGGAGTGCTTTCAATGCAGATTTATTCAGACCACTTCCTGATGTTGTACTACCACCACCACCACCACCACCACCACCATCTGACTTTGATAGTACATTTTTTATGAATTTGATAATGTTGGATAGGGATTGCTGTGATACAAGACCCATGCCAAGTTTTCGTTTGACCTTCATTCCGGTGGTGACAAGCCAAGCAGCAGCCTTCTCTTTGAATTTAGCGTTCTTCGACTTGACTCTCTCCCACGCTCTATTTTCCAATATCCAATCAGCTTTGTGCCTGTCTTCTATTGAGGAATTTTGTGAATAGGCGATATCGTGTTCTCGACACGCGTCGTCCAACGGATTGATACCGGTGTCTCCTCTTGCAAGTCTTTTATCGAGTTTGGTACCTGGACCACAAAATCTGTAGCCTGGAATGTGTAATTCGATGGGAAGTTTATCGATCAGAGAATTAAGCACACCCTCTCCGTGGTAGAGCAACATGAAGACTGACGTGTAGGAAGTTCGACAACTCTGCATATACCTAATGAAATGAAAAATATATCATCACATGATGAAGATCATTCAACAAGAACGGATGTTACCCATTGTGAATTTGGATGAAATTTTGTCAACCAAACCACCAGTAAATAGTAAACATGGGAAACTGCTTCCCCATTCGTTCAGAGCAATCTTCTGCGGACCAAGCGGATGTGGAAAGACCAATGCGATGCTTTCCCTGCTGTTCAATCCAAATGGCGCGAAATTCGAGAACGTTTACGTGTATTCAAAGTCGTTGTACCAACCGAAATATCAATTGCTGCAACAAGTGTTGGATTCAGTGAAAGGTGTTGGGTATTTTCCCTTTAAAGAAAATGATGATGTCATTAGTCCATCAGAAGCGAAAAATAATTCGATATTCATTTTTGATGATGTATCATGCGACAAGCAGCAAAAAATTCGAGAATATTTTTCAATGTGTAGACACAAGGATATTGACGTAGCATACCTATGCCAGACTTTTTCTAAGATACCGAAGCAGCTGGTGCGAGACAACAGTAACCTGTTGGTGTTATTTCGACAGGATGAAATGAATTTGAAGCATGTGTTCGACGAGCATGTCTCACCAGACATGTCATTCGATAAATTTAAAGCATTGTGCTCAGAGTGTTGGAATTCCAACCAATATGGTGCGATGGTGATTGCAAAAACTTTCGATATGAATGCTGGCAGATATAGAAATGGTTTTGATAAGTTCATAAGACTGTGATCTCTGGACCATTCATCAAGATGACGTCAACCAAGATGCATGATGATGTTGCTGATGCGCTGCGCAAGAAAAAAATCAACGAACTATCGAAATCAATCAGAAGAAAATATTTAGCACTAAAATTGGGCAAGTCTGAGGATGATGATGCGTTACAGAAAATATTCCAACCACTGACATCACCTTTGAAACAAATTGCCACCACGTCCAAGGTAATAAAAGAAAAACTCGATGGAACGCTTTCAAACATCAAGCGAAGCAGAGCAAAATCGTTGGGGTTGAAGAAGGAGAAGAAGGAGGAAGAGGATGAGGAGTTGGAGAGGGAGCAATCGGATTTGAACCAAACTAATTTCATACCTATGATGGATGTGGCTGATAATGCTGGGCATACTGAAGATGATGATGAGGATGGTTATGATGATGCTGATGATGAACTTTTTGTAGAAAGTGAAAATATCTCACCGGCTGCAATACATGATTACGTTGATCAGTATCCTGCGATGGCTCAAAAATATCTGACTGAATACTGGACAAATGATGAAAATATCGATACGGTTTATGGCCCCAAATATGATCCAGTAACATCGAAATGGTCCCTCAACGGAAAAGAAATGAATTTCCATCGAAGAACTGGAGATATACTTCTTGATGGCTTTCGGTTCCGTGGCACCCCAGGCCTCTATCAATTACTCTTCTATAATGATCCATCCTTTGCCAAAGATGATACAAACCCATACAAGCAAATACTCTTGCTCACCAAAGCTCATCTGAATTCTGCAGGACGTATGAAGTCCTCCTCTAGACTCAAATACGTAGAAATTATTCGTCCAATGTTCAGATCCAATTCCAGTGGTCGTGGTTTGAAGTTGACATACAACACAGCACCTATCGAATACATGTATTGGGATGATCCAAATGAATTGGTAGATAGATTGAAGTTGCTCATTGCATCACAGCAAGCCGGAAATACATCAAACGATAACGAGATTGTTGCCATCTTGAACGAATTAGAAGAGGCAGGCATAATAAAACATGTGTAACATTTCTGTGATACTTCCGTGACACTTCCATGACAACTTCCGTGACAGTTCCGTGACACTTCCTTGACACTTCAGTGACAGTTCCGTGACAGTTCCGTGACACTTCCTTGACACTTCCGTGACAGTTCCGTGACACTTCCTTGACAGTTCCGTGACACGTCCATGGCATGTCTATGAGTGAAGGGGCTAATAATTGGCGAGGCAAAGTGCCGTCCATTATCGATAACGTACAATACTTTAGTCATTAGCATAATGAGTCTCGACAAATTCGGACGTGGTTCGTTTCCACGCTCAGCTCAGATGGTGACAGTCAGATCTGGATTTTCACATACTCCAACCGGTGATATTGATGTTGGTCATTTGAAGATGTGTAACGTAAAACTGCCAACAGATGTCGCTGATGTTGCAAACAAACAATATGTGGATGAAGTTATATCGCAAATAAAGTTAGATTTCAAGATTGCTTTCGATAATTACGGTGAAAAAATCCGAAATTACCTTGCTGGCTTCAGCAACGAAATTATCGATGTACGAAAGAGAGTGGATTCTCATGATCTCAAACTGGCAACGTACA